CAATGTAAAATTTCTCTCGACTTCCTCTGATTGTACAACAAAATAATGTTGTAAGTCCCAAAGCAAAGCTTTTAAAAGGCAGCCCAAAAAAATGTGATTGTAAGATGAAGCTACATGTTCATGATGAAAATGAGAAAATATCCAAATAGTTCTAGAATAACATTCGTAAAATGAAGAGGAAACAAAAGCTGGCGAATATTCAAAGGAAGTAATTTCCTTTGATATTTATAGTGGCGTTGAAAAAACAAGAGATTAAACTCTCAAAGAGTGAAGCAAAGTCTCCGCAAGAAGTAGTTAATTCACCTGCCACATTTTCACCTGAATGTGATGTGTGAATAATGTTGCATTGCGAACATCTCGTGACCTGTACATTGTACTCGAATGTACAGCTGTAGCATGGAGCTATATTTATACAGTATCTCTATATGGATGTGTACTAAATTAGGCTGCATTAATATATGACAACTAACAGAGGGGTGGACAGCACGTTTTGAATTGACATATGTAGATGGAGGAATTTTTTTAGATATGAGGAAAAAGATAGTATTACAGATAAAAATAATTAATGACAGAAAATGTAATTAAGAGGTAATATACTGTAGGAAAATAGATAATAAAAGAAATGATAATGATAATAGTAAATGAAAGCAGAGATTAATGAAATGTTTTATTGCAAAAAGAAGATAATAAAATGAAAGAGAAAAAAAAAATATAAAAAGATATAATGAAATAAAAGTGTAAACTGTAATCAAACATCAGGAATAGATAAGCTAAGAAAATAAAGAAAAAAAAGTAAAAAGGATAAATGAAAGAGGTAACGATAATTGATGAGTGAGTCAATGTCAGAAAAGTTAAATTAAAACAAAGTGTGCTGGAGAAAATGAAAGTGCAATGAAAGAAAAGATGTGATAATACATTTTGAAAAAAAAAATAAAAACAAAAAATGATCAACTGACATACATACAGTAGAAGGATGAATTTCATATTCAAATGTGTAGTATATAATATTAAAACCAATCGATAAATATGATAACTGGTCATGAGATTGCCATGCATATTTTCTAGTTGCTAATGGTACAGGATATTATATGTAGCTTTTAATATGGCAATGAAGATTAAAATTTATACCTGTATGATGCATAAAATGATGATAACAATTGTAATGTGAATGGCTGCTTCAAGAGTCTCAGATACTGTATAATAATTTTTCTTTTATTTTTATTTTATAATGCAAAGATTAAATATATTCCTGAAAGTCTATAATAATATTCATTTAATAATAAATGTACAGTATAAAGTATTGCTTCTCAATTTCAATAACGCCCACTAACCCATGATAGCCTGACAAACCAATTAAATTTAAAAATCATCATTATATTATTAGAATAACTTATTAATCTTGAACTGCAGGATCTTCTGTTTCTGTTTTTCTTATGTTAATATATATGGGAACCTTAATAGAAGATGCTCAATGTTGAATATATTTGTTTTAACATCTAATGTTGAATAGGAACGTATCTAGAAATTCTCCTCAGAGGACAGAGGAGGTTACTATATGCTTTGTGATGAAATGTGTACAGTACTTCAATAGATAAAAAAATAAATTATTGTTATTATCGTCATTATCATCAACATCGCAATGATCACATTATTAAAATTGCATATTTAGAGTCAAATGAAGTTATTTGGTCATCATCATTAAATTATCATAATTATCACCATTAACATCATCATCCTCATTAGTCATCATCATTATTATTTTTGTAATATTATTTTAATTAGTATGATGTGCACAGACTTTGACCATTAAATGCAACATTAATAACAAAAGCATATTTTTTCCCCAATTATTAATCAATCTATTGAAAAATATAGGAAAAAAGTCCCATTTTTATACATCTTCTACATTCCGTAAAGATCCTATTTTTCGTAATGATGTATTTTAGAAATTTATTTATAGAATTCTAAACTTGCTATATTAGGCACATAACACTGATTTTTAGTGAACCGTACACTTTTGTAACACACCAATGATTAATTAAGTGTCTGTTGGTTAATCAAATAATTGGTGCTATCCAAATATGGGCATAGAATTTGAATATTCATTTCAATCTATATATGGTCCTTTAATTTATTAGCCAATCAGTTACGCTTGATTTGAAGCTACAGTATAATGGTTCAGCCATATTTGGAAGTATACATTTGCATTTTTAGACATTTATGGTATAAAAGACGTTTGCGAATTTTTCAATGGAAGTTGTTACATCTGTTACACAAAACTAACCGTTTACTATGCATGCATGGATTTCAGTTACTCAAATTCTAAAGCACAGGTACTGTAGATTTAGAATGTTTGTAGACTATACTGTATTATCTTCTTTAGATAAGATGATGGTTTTTTGGATTATATCTGTGAAATAAAGGTAAGTTAAAAAAACCTTTAATCATACCATCTGTGCAGTTTACACGTCCTTGGAAATGTAATTAGACAAGCTAGTGATAGTTGAATTCGAAGTGAAGTATGTTTATAATGGTTTGGTGTACTGTAGTGATATTAAAACAGGCAGCACAGAGATAGCAATCGATTGTCAACAACTAATAAAATGATTGCTCGTGTATTACCTTAAACTTGGCATCAAGTTTATATAACTTTGATAGGTTGTGGCAAATAGGCAAATATTTGGGCCTGCCCTCAAATTGAAAGATTGGGTTTGAGAATCATGTTTAATTTCTTGGCAACCTTGGGCAAGCCACTTTTTATCCATATTGTCTTGCTCCACTCAGGAGAAGTTGGTACAGTAGAACCCCTCATTTACGAACGCCGATTTTACGGATTCCCGATTTTACGAACGTAAAATCATTTCATTGTTGTCATAAATAAAGTTCCTATTTCATGTACAAAACACACGCATGACAAGAATTAATCAATCGGCGCGTGCTGGAGTTATTTACTCGGTCTTAGATGGTTTGCTGTATTTGCATATCGATAGCCTCATGATTTATTCAGTGGAAAATGTTCGTAAACAAACTTGAAAGTGAATGCTATTCACTTTCAAGTACTTACAAACATTGTCCACTGAATAAATCATGACATGTCTTAGCCCTAAATCTTACGTAATATAAAAGACAAAATAATCTTCGTAATTAACCCACCTACCAAATTCATTTTAACCCACCTACCAAATTTATCTTAACCAATGATATTCGAATAAATTTCACACGAGAGATTGTGTAGCGTATAGGCCTATAGTCACGTTTAGGTTCGATTTATAATTTTAATTAAAAAGGGATTTTATTTATCAAATCTCACTAATGTTAATCTACCATTTCATTATTTCCCCCATAAAATAAGACACTAACACCCACATTTTCTTTTTAACTTTATTATTCATTACATAAATGTTAATGTAGGCGTAGAACAATTGTATTGCATACAAAAAAAAATCCGAGCACCGTGTCTACAAACCATTTCATTATTTCCCCCATAAAATAAGACACTGACACCAACATTTTCTTTTTAACTTTATTATTCATTACATAAATGTTAATGTAGGCGTAGAACAATCGTATTGCATACAAAAAAAAATCCAAGCACCGTGTCTACAGCCAATCAGCGCTCTTCTTTTAATAAGTGAACCCCTGGTTTCCGGGTTATTCTGTACAGGTATTTACATGATGCCACAAGCACATGGCGTTACTCGCCCTGTTGCGGCGCCTGTGGGGCTATGTTTCTTCGTAAGCTAGAAGATAAGTCATTATATTATTGCCTGAGAAAGAGAGAATAAAGTTTGTAAACACATTAACAAGTATGTATAGTACTGCACATTTATGATCGTTATTTTGAATTTCCTCGAGCGCAAGTTGGAGTTTTGGTTCCAATCCAACAAAATTCCAGTCCAGTCCAGGCCTAGCCTAGCCTAGCCTAGCCCAGCCTAGCATATCGGTAGTGTAAATACATAGAAATTTCACACAACTCCGATTTTACGTACGAATGATTTTTACGAATGGCTCTGGGCCTGTCCCATATGTAAATGAGGGGTTCTACTGTACTGACAAGCTCAAAAAATAGCAATGTGCTGATTAGCTGCTGCAAATTAATGAGAAACTCTAAGGAAAATAATGTATGTAAATGTTTGATCCAATAGAGGAAGGTTGAGAGATGCAAAAGGCCTTTCAATTTTATTGAGTTTATAAACAAAAACAAAAAAAGAAAGAAAGAAAAAAAAACATTAGTACAGGTATACAGACTGCTATCCGTGGATTAGCAAATAAAATAAAAATAAATTTAAAAACTTTGTTGTAATTTGCATGGTAACAGATACCGATAAGATTATATTTTCCTGTGGCTTACATGCAAACTAATAGAAACTAGTAAAAAGCAAGCTAGGACTATTAGTGATAGCATCGATTTTGCACCTTGTTGAAGTTGACTAATCGTCCTGTGATGCCCATTTTAGTAACTAAAAGCTCTGTGACTTCATGATGTCTACACCACTGGCTTCCCTTGTTGAAGAGCAATGTTTGTGTTTTGTAATTCTCCAAAGACTATTTGCAACTGACATGGTTAAAAATGTACAGCATGAGTTGTACAGTACTTTAGTTTGTCAGTGTTTCCTGCACGTCAATATAATTGTGGACAATGCAGTTGGATAGTTTGATGTTGTCGTCTGTCATACTGAGACAGCCATGTGCACTGGTGTTAATACAGTATTTTGTCATACATTGCAAAAGAAATCTGATAAGGTTTTGACTTGTAGACAGATATTTTGATGCTGTGTATACATATGGATATGTTTCTGTTAAGCCCTGTCCAGACTATCAAATTTTATTTGACAAAACACATGTGACATGCCTAAATAAGGTCATGATGACATCATATTTGACCCTATTTTAGCACTTATCTATATATGGTCACACATTTTCTTTTTGAACTAATTGTGAATGCACAAATATGATTATGTACTGTTAATTAAATATTTATTTTTATTTTCTCTTTTCAGAGAGATGATTGGTATGAATTGATACCTCAACAGGTTGAGCTCTCATCACCATCAGCTAGTAAGCGCAAAACCACCAGCTCTTCACCGCAGCATCCGACAAAGGAAGCCAGAACATCATCCAGTTGTCACGGATCACAAGTTTCAGATTTCTCCACACTAGAACAAGATGCCATTACATCCGATGGTGGAGTATTCACGCCCTCACCAAACTTTGTCAATGGTGTCATGGGCAGGACACAGTACAGAGACGACAATGACAATCATGTAGAAAGAAATGACAATTTGAAAGATACTTCTTTGGAGTTATCAGATAGTAGTGACTCAGTACAGAAGACAGATGCTCATGAATTCTTTTCAGCTGTGGAACTGGATGCACAAAAAACAAGAGTAGAGCAATATCCATTTGTAGATGATGACGATTTTGTAAGCAGCAGTGAAATTGATATCCCACTGCCAACATCAGAGGATGAATATCTAAGTAGCAGTCACCAAGCTATCAAAGAGGTTGGCACTGATCTGCAGAATCCCAGTGCATTACAAAAAGCCATAGCAAATATTTCGCAGGATTTTGTCAGTGGAAATTTGACTGCTTCAATATCAAATCTGCCACTGGACAGTAGCTTCTCTTCATTAACAAGTCAAGGGAACGATTCAACTGCAAGCAGTACCAATAGCAGCCCTAGAAGGATACCAAAAGGAAAATCAAAATCTGTTTCATCTAAAAACAAAGACAATAAAAGGAAGCTATTGAATGGATATACTGCATCTAGTGACAAATCCTCCTCTGTGTTAAATTCAAAATTAGAAAAAATTTCGAAATCAGAGAGGCCATCAATTCCTGATCATAACAAGAGCTCTCATGTGGAGAGTTTAAGTGGAATATCAATTGAAAAATCTGATGGACAAGTAAAGTTTCTTAAAGATACTAATACGGATTCAAAAAACGAATTTGCATCACATTTTTTACCTCAATCAGAAGTTGATGCCAAAGACACCCACAAGTCTTTTCAAAGTAAACCTACTGCACATGAGGCATCTGCAGATCTAGAAAATGAGACAATATCATACCCTTCGGAGAAATATGATGTGAGCATACTCACTAACTCTGTGGCCTTAATTGATAAAAAACCTATTACAACGTCAACACCTTATGTACAGTTGTCACATAAGCAAACAAAGAAAATGAAAGCTAAACAGGATTCAGAAAAAATTAAATCTGTGAAAAAAACTACAAAGAGCCCAAGGAGTTCTCTAGAATCCTCGAACTCTAGTTTAGCAAGTGAAGGAAGGAAGTCTAAAGTTCGATCCCAATCACCAAAGCAAGTTGCAAGAGCTTTAGATTTGTCTAATTCAAGTGCTTCATCAACCGAAAGTAAAAAAGTGACCGCTAGGTCACAATCACCAAAATATGTTACAAAGCATTCCACATGTTTCAGAGAACGTTCTCAGTCTCCAAAGCAAATTGCAAAAGCTTCAACTTCGAAGCCATCTTTCAGAAGCACATCAGTTGATTCTAAACATTCTTGCACTGTGTCACCAAAGCGAGGATCAAAAAAACCTAAATCTAAAAGTGTTGTCTCTTTAGGAAAGAGCAATGGCTTATCTCAAAGCAACAAAAGTGAATCTAATTTGACTTCTAGTTCGAAGAATAATTCTCTGAGTAGTGAAGAGAATGCAAGTACATCAGCAAGTCATAGCTTAAGTACATCAGAATTTGCATCACAAAATTCATCAAATCAGATGAGTGAAGATTCAATAGGGCCTGCCAAGGAACATGGTTCCCAGGAATCAACCAGAGGGTCCAATATACAACTGCCATTAAACCTTAATACGTTGAAACCTGAAATTGAAAAAGTCTCAGAACAAAATATTCAGTTTAGTTCCAAAGCATCTTCTGTAACTTCTTCAATAAAATTTGGTACTGATTCAAGTCAATCTGCACCAGAGTCAGAAAGTGACTCCAAGACAAAAACTCCAGATTTAAAACCTGTTTCTTCTTATATTCAATATCCATCAGACCTTCAAAGTGAAAATCTTACCAAATCTGCCATCCAAAAGGAATCTGATTTGGAATGTAGCTCAAACACTGCTGGCCAATTAAATGCGACCGATTCTAGACAGCAAGTACTCTCCAGGGAAAATTTGAGTCTTGATATGTATACTCAAAGGGATTCCCTGGCAAGAAAAGTAGCAGAACTTCTTGCTGAAGATTCAAGTCGTAAAGGATTGTCCAGAAAGGATGATAGTGAAAATTCAAGTAAAGCAGGCACACCTGATAGTATAGAAGAGGATCAGAAAGAAAGAGCAATGCGAATACAATATCTCCAGGAGAACGCTCCTAATCAAAAGCAAGAAAAGTCATATCCAGGGTCAGCCTCAAGCTCCTATCATGATGCTCTTAGTGATAATGCTCAGAATTTCCTTCAAAGGCAAACAGAAGGACATAGACCTCTATCCCCTCAGTCAGATACAAGTACTTCCAGCTCTGTGCGTGCTATTATTGATCGTGTCATGACCAAAGGATCCGAGGTTTCTTTTGACCCTCGTTTTTCTCAACAGGGTTCACCTGTTGGTAGTGTAGCCAGTGAACCCTCTGGTAGTGCGACTTCTAGACTCAGACAAAGCCATAGTAGGTCAGATAGATCTGGGTTCTCAGCAATTGACAGGTCAAGACTGCTTTCCTCATCCGCTGGTGGCCGTGGAAGTAGTTCATCATTGATCTGGGATAGTTTTGCTGGACCTTCTGATGCTGTAGCACCACATGTGCCAATTAGTTCCACTATGAGTTCGCAAACTCCATCAATGGGGTTGACACAAACAAGCCAGGAAGCAAAATCAGACACCTTATCTCTGACTGCTGAGTGGCAAGCTAGGAAATCCTCCCAGGTACAAAGAAGTACAAGTAGCGTGAGTGTCAGAAGTAGTGACTCACTAGCAAGTAGGGTCCAGAAACTTTTAGCAACAACTGCATATCTAGATGGAGACACTAGGAAAATGCCTCAAGAGAGTACCAGAAGGGCAAGGATAGACAGTCAGAGTGAGGCTGAAGGTTTTTCACTTGCAAGATCACTCAGTCCTCAATCAGCCAATCACCAAAACCTGCTGTCAGAACATGGGAGAAGTATGTCTACTGATGATCTTACAGGCGCTCAACACCTTGGTTATACACATGCTCAGATGCAGTATCCTGACATGAAAATGTCTAATGTGAGTATGCCAAATGAGGGACATTCTTCTTTACAGTTTGGACCAGATATTAGTCAGAATGTTGGCTCTTATCCATCATTTGAACAAGGTGGTCCTGATGGCATGAGTTCCATGCTGGAAGGTGGTAGAGCACCCTCTAGGGTCTCATCAATTTCTGTTAGTCCAAGAATGTCACCCCATCCAAATGCAGGTCCAATTATGTCTAGGAACAGGCAGGCATCAATAGGCAGTCAAGAAGACCTGGAAGGATTAGTAAATCGTGTTCGAATGATCCTTGGAACTGATGCCCCACAAGAAAGAGTTGAGAGAATCATCAAAGCGGCCCTTCTAGAAGAAGGACGGCAAAGCGCAGAATTAGAACAGTATTATTCAGCACAAAACCTATCAGAATATTCACTGTCAGATCAATTATCTGGTAGTCCTCAGCATTATGGGTCAGATCCACATCTAGCCCAACATCAACTAGCTGGATACCAGCAGTATTCTCAAGGGGCTTCTTCAGGTAGTCATCCAAATTTGAGAAATATTGCTGCCATTAGTCATACAAGAAATCTGATTACAAACCAAATGCAAAGAGCTGCTCAGAACCGGTTTGATCACAGCATTGATATTAGAGGCATGCCAACAGAATATGATAGGCATACTCCACTACAACACCGCTCGAGCCCTCAAGTGCCTCCGTTGCGTATAATGGATGATTGGCAGAGGAGAGAGGCATGGTTAGATCAAGCTGAAAAAGCAGCACAGTCTGACAGGCTTGCTTATGGAATGCTACCAGATAGGACCTCTCCACTATCAAATTCAAGATCTCCTTCTAGAACATCATCATCAATGGCTAGCTCTCCAGATCGATTCTTTGCATTATCACCTCAACAATCGCCTAAGAAACCGTACACTCGTGATTCAGACCCTTATTTTGATTATCATTTGCAAGGTCCACAAGCAAGATTAGCAAGACCTAGAGGGCGGCAGTTTCAAACAATTGCCGCCATGGAAATGAGTAAACAGTATTGTCAACGAGAGAATGACTGGAATGACCCTTATCATTATCAGAACTCTTCAAGGCCAGGGTCAGTTCATGAAGTTCCTAGTAGGCATGCACACTCATTTAGTCTTCCACAACGCCCTGTATCTGCTGGTAACTATGGACCAAGTGCTTTCCATTCTGTTCCTAAAGCACATGGTCTTTCCCGTAGAGCAAATCCGCGTTACCATACTGTGTCGGGAATCGATCCCAATGAGTTGATTAGGCAAACATCTCCATCCATGGCAAATTATCCAGCGAGGATGTCCGAGAGACCTGCAGCGTATGGAACTCCAGTATATGAGCATCTACATCCATATAAGCCACCTGGCAGTGCAGAGGTCATGTACACATATCCTTATGGTAGTGAAGGTGTGGGTGTGTCATCACCAGCACACACTGAAACAACCTTGGAGAGCACACATCCAGGTAAGTCGAGTTAGCACTGACATCATGTGTTTATTTATAAACTTTCTGATACAACATCCAACAACAAGACACCTGCCTATTAAAAGATGGAAATATGTGAATCTAATAAAATATCTACAATTTGAACCTAGAAACTTTATAGAGGGCAGTAGAATGCCTGGCATAAGCCAATATGAAGAAATTCAATTTAAAGCACACCAAATTACTGAACTGAATTTCAATTAAGATTATTCATACTAATTTTAAGATTATGACTCCAATAAGATTCTCTGATTGTTCTTGCAACAAGTTTGTGCAACATAGAATTATATGAAAATGTAAATAATCATAGTGAACTAAAATATTTCAATCTAGATAGGATTCAACTCAATTTGAAAGAATTCACTCCTAGCCAAAAAAGAACAATCATACTGGTATATCCAAAATCGGATCACCCATCTAAAAAATGAAATTATCAGATAGGGAATGAATTGAGTCTACTAAACAGAAATTATTTTGAGTGTTACAAACCAATTACTTAATGATTAGAAATAATTGTTTTTTTTCCGGTTCTTAAAGTATCATCATTTCTTTTATCTTTAATATTTTGTCTTCCTGTGAAGGGGCGCCATGAGCGTTTTCCCTTAAAATGGTACCGACGCTTTACTAGTTTTCATCATTATTATTATTATTATCATTATTAATATTATATATAATTATTATTATGTTCCTCTCCATCTGTTGGTGGCAAAATCCTGGCAATGTCATGTTTAGAAAAGTATTTCCTGTTGAAAAATATGACCCTTTTTTTGTAACACTTGTCAGACTACTGTTATTGTCAATTTCTAGAATATCCTGTCAGGAAGCCAATTTTAGGATTTCAGGAAATCCATTGTTAAAAGTTTTAGTGAATTTGGAAGAATCTGTAGCATCTTTGCCAAAGAGGGGTTAGTTTATAACAATTCTAGTGTTTCAATTCAAAATTTGAGGGTTTGCAGTATGATGTTTTTTATTAAGCATTATTCTAAAATTGTCTGTACAAGTACGAAGCATAGTTTTTAAGAATATTTTCATAAAATTTGATATGAAAAGCCCCATTATCATCTGGTTGTTAAGATTTTGTGAGAAAAACATTAATCATCTTTACTATACCATAATTCAAGGTTTACTCACATATATAAGAACAAGCCTGAGTACATGTTTCCTCTCTTTACAATGTTGGATCCATATCTTTGATGTTCACAAACATTTTAATATGTCAGGGCATATGCATTTATTTGAATTCTAGATTTATAGTACTCTTTCATCTGAACTAACACAGTGATAGAATATAGATCAAAGAAACTGATAAAGAATCCATGTACAAAAGTAGTGCTCTATAGTAAAGCAAATAAAGATAAATTATAAATGTATGAATATGAAACAGCTTCCAGTGTTTGTAAGAGTAAGGCATTGTTTATCATCAAACATGCCTAAATATGGTCATGATGACATCACATGACCATATATACAGTATAGGCACATCATGAGTATATATGGGCATACAAAAGTTTTTTGTCAAAGAAAATTGTTTATAATTTGGACAGAGCTTAACACACTGTTTTTCATGATTGTGACATATTTCAGAATAACATTAACTTTAATCAGCCTCCACATGGAAATGAAAGATGTTTTTGGTTTATTAAAATTATAGGTTCTGATGATGCCCAACCACCTCATTTTCCACGTCACGTCCTTGGGGAAAGACAGGAAGCACATGAAAAGTATCCACCAACCGGGATTTACTCTAGCAGCCATGTTGTTTCGCCAGGATCTCATACTCATAGATTACCTACACCTGATAGTAAAAGCTTAGAACGTCGTGCAAAGCCACTAGCTTGGGATGTTCCAAAAGACACAGACAAGGAGGAACATTCACCACCAGGACAAAGACTGAAAAAGGTTGGTGGCGTAACAACATGGAAGGAGTTGTCTCTCTCCAAATCCAGCTCTGAGGGTGAAGATAAATCTGAAGAAGAGAGTGAACGATCCGGTAAAAAAACACAGATTAAGTCTCCTGGACAGCAGCAAGGGCATCAATTTAGAGAGGTGTCTGGTGGTAGGAAAAGTCGCAGAGAGGAATCACCACATAAACCCAGCACCTTTTTTGTAGACTTTAATGGTCCTGATGTTATGGATCCCATGAGGCATGGTCCCCAGGATCCAGAGTCTGATGCCATGGAGGCGGAAATGGATAGAATACGAAGTAACTTGGAACGTTCCAGAAGTGGGAGACCTCATGAAGCAAGACCAGTGTACCAATCACCTCCCTTCTCTCGTAAAGTTGGTGTGTCGGGTAATGGCCCCACGTTACCCGGTAGCTACTCCAGACAGGTGTTGCAACAGGTAATACAGGTAAGCTGTAATATAGATTTCTTAACTAGGTTTTACTTCAGCACTTTATGTTTGCAGTACTATTCATACTGGGGATGGTTAATACAATCACTGTTTCTGGGGGAAAACTGCATATGTGGCAAAGACAAGCCAAACCAGTCACTCGTCGCAAAAATCGATTTTGAGTTATTAATACAGTGTTAGAGAGTAGATGGTAAAAAAATCATTCAAATCAGACATTTCCTTATGAAGTTACAAGCGTTTAAACATAGAGTTGTTTAAAGAACAATATGAGAAATCAGCCTTCAAAGTTTATGATTTCAGGCATTTTTCATGCAGAAACGATCATTAAATCCTTAAAAAGTGTTGTTTTAACGTTAAAAATGGGGAAAATAACAGCATAGAATGATGTGTAGATATGTAAAGGTTAGTTTAGTATAATAAAATAGATTTTTATAATTTGACATTCCAGCATATTTTGGCCATTTTCTCTGAAACACGATTTGCGACGAGTGACTGGTTTGGCTTGCCTTTGCCAAATATCATGGTGACCTTCTGTATTATGGATAAATTTAGACCAGATCAAAAATAGATAGAAATAATATCCTAAATTCAATAATATAATCATTCATAGGACTATTAAAATATAGATTATATTTCTTGTCATTGCTTCCTAAATGGCCAATTGCTATTTTTAGCTTTTTATTTGAAGTTGTATGGATGTACGTTGTTTAATTTAGCTTCAAATTCTTAAGAGAATTTTCAAGTTTCAAAAATTCAGTATACAAATATATAGTTAAATACCACCTTCATTGTAGGTTTTTGCTATTATGTTATATTATAATATTATTATTGCTGATGCTGCCTGTTTTTATTTCTTATTTCTGTTGTTATTTTTAACATTTTTATTGTTGTTATTATGAGCATGTTTTTATACAATGCTTTCTGTAATTTCCAAAATTACTCATTAGCTATTATCACACTGTAATATTCTATTAGCTTGTAGGTAGCTAAAGTGATATTAATATTTGAATTGCAGCAAGAGAACTCGTCAGACAATCATGAGTATGCCCAGGCATGGGATGATTATCAGAGGTCGAAGGTTAAGGACCAGAAGGAGCTTGATCAACATCAAATAAACCGATTGGCTAATTTAATACAGAACCCAGTGCAATACTACTCTACAAGGACATCAACTTCAACTCCAGGTAATAATAATAATAATGATGTTATTTAAAATTTTTCATCCATTCATATGACTGGTCACTTACAGAGGCAAGCGATGCTCAATAGAAGTTTTGGGAGTGGTTGTTTTAATAAGACACAAGAAAAAATTCTGAGGCAGAGGATTTGAACCAGGACTCTGTAATAGGAAGGCAAGCTTCTAACTACCAAACCACATGCAGTTCCACACAAACAATAATTAATAATTTTATTTTTGTCATGAACTATTACTATTATGATTAAATTAATAGTAATAATATCAACAATAATTATATTATTGATATCTTTAATAATATATTTTTGTTTTCATTTCTTCTGACAAATTTTAAAAACCATATGTGAAATATAGTACAAACATTTGCAAAAAGGTAAGCTAATAAATATAAATCCAATAATGCATTCACAGACCAAGAGGTAACAAGAGGGCAAAAATCACTGTCATCCAAGGAGATGCACTACTACGTTAACATTTTTTGTGTTATAAATATAAAAAATTAAAAAACTAATTTATATAATGCTAATTCCAAAATGTGATCAAAAGTGTTAGCAATTAGTGAAAACAAATGGCTAGTAAATTTGTACAGTATATGTAAAGTGGGCTGAGCTCGCAGCTTGTGACGTTATCACTTTCCAGTGGGATTCAGTGACTTGAAAAAACAGCAGCATATATAATAGTCATGCCTAGACTGGGATAATGTTAATTAATTGAAAGAAGGCTAGCCTAGGCTACCAATGCCTACTGTGAGTTTTTTCTTCTACCAACACACAGTGTTTACCAGCTGGCTCGTTATTTTTACTGGTAAAATTGAAGGCTAAACGGCTTCAGGAGAACACTGTGATATATAAATTTATATTTGAAGGAAGAAAGATTTGTTTTGTTATGAGGAACTGCTGATGAGTTCCATAATGCTGTGTAAAATAAGCATACAAGTTGTTTACTGGTTTGAGGAAATTTCATCGTTTCATTGTGAAAGTGTTTACATCAATTGTCAATAAAATTTTACAGGGTCCTCTATCATAGGTGAAATATCTGATGATGCATCCAGTATTAGTTCGACGGGAAGCATTCCACGGAGGAGAAAAAAGTGGCGCAAGGACACAAAGTTCACTCCGAAACAGCAATCACCTGATGAGGCGGATAGAAACATTGCAGAAGATTTGCAGCATAAAATGTTAGTGGCATAAATTTTGTCAACAGATTTCCGTGGTTAAAAATGTTAAACTTTGTTTATTAAATGGTAAACGTCTTTTGTCTGATATTGTTATTTGAATATTAATTTGTTATAGTTTTCAGTCAAATATATCAATTACTAAACTCTAAGACAAACAAAATCATACTCTTAAACAAAGATATTGATATAAATTATTTTTAAATATTTAGTTTGTATAATATTTGTAACATAAAATGAAATTTTGTTTTCTATATCTGTGAAGTTTTCTCATTGTACATTTAAATGTTTATTATTTTCTTTGTACATGTATTGCTAAAAGTCAAACTTCTTTCACCATCATACAAGTATTTTAATACTTTGAATAGTATTCTTTTAACACAATTTTTAAAGCATATATTTTGTATTTATACCAAATTATTCTCATATATTAATAATAATATTAAATAAATTATTATTGATTCTAATGAACACATATCTTGAATTTTGTAGACATTCATTTATTATATTTAAATTTTAAAGATAATATTTATGATAATAATGAACAATTATTTAAAAAATAACATTCATTGACAAGATATTTCAAAGCCTTTTGACATATAAGATATAGTAAAAAGTTATAGATAGTTCCACTGTAGTTATAAATTGTATAATTAATAAGAACAATTTTTTGATATAAATTTTCATTTTAACCTAACTTGCTGTCATTTTCAGAGTTGAAGAAGAGGAGAATGATGAAACAAACAGCTCATCAAGTGACGAAACAAAACCGGGACATAAAAAAGTTGACCAACCAAGCAATGACAGTTTCAAAGCACCCAGCTCTCCAAGCGACAACAAATATGATGATATCCTAAAAGAAACAACGCTTTCTGATTTAAGTGTGGACTCGGAAAAACTGTATCGGATGCTTGGACCGAAGGGTGTAGAAAAACTCAGTTCAAAATTGACGAAGTTGCAGCAGAGGATTGAGATTCAAAAGGAACATCACAAGCGTAGGACAACCGGAAAGAAAGTGCCTCTTGCAGTTATAGGTCCAACAAGTTCCTCAGAATCCGAAGTCTCTAACATTATGTCAACAGATTCATCTCTTTATGCCTCAGAGTTACACCGCGTTTCCGAGGGTCATGAGCATGTAGGGAGGCGAGCTTTACGCACTCACCTAGACAGGTTTCACAGGATGCCTGAGAGGAGCAGCAGCGTGGAATCGGAGCCAATGTACCGTTCTAGGGCCTACCGACAGAAATTAGGTGGTGATGACAGTACCGATGGTCTGACCAGTGATGTCACTTCTGATGCTCAAGCGGCATGCTCTTGTCAACCGACTTCGAAACCACGTAGATCACAATCGTTACATGACAGAACTTCCCGAGGTAAAGCACAGGATCTTAGAAAGCGCGACGAAAGTCCAGGCTACGATAGAGTTTCTGATACTGATGATCATATGTTTCATAAACCTTCCCGCCCTGCCCCACGTGCCAGAGATAAGAATCTGGATTCCTCTGGATCAATTCCCGCAAAAAGGCCTATGAAAGGTACGTCATTCACGGTTGATCTTGGTCTTCAAACCGATGCAAGTATACAAGATGCTGCAAGAAGAAGGAAAGACAAATCAAAAGACAAAGAAAACCAAAGAGAACCTAGAGGAAAAGATAGAGAACCTGGGGCAAAACCAAAAACTAGAACATCAAAAACAGGTGAAAAAGTAAAGAAGTCAAAAATTTATACACCTGAATCGCCAGATGATAGCAGGAAGAAAGAAAAACCAAAGTAAGTACCCTTTAAATTTGTTTTGTTTCTACAAATGCTATCAAGAGTAAATACTTTACTCAATATAATACAGTATATACAATACAAAGCCCAAACAGTTGGTCAATTTGAAAGAGTGGGGTCATCAATTGCCTGTTGGGGAGTTTTAATTATTTTGCCAACAGTACTGTATAACCAACAGCAAATGTTCTAAACAATGTTGATGCTATACTAAGGTTCATTATATGGCTTAGAGAGGTGGGGGAAGGGCAGTCGTAAAGAATTTTCTGAACTGAACCCTAGAATATGGATTGGGCAGCTAAATCACCACATGTGGCCCAAGAGAATTTTTTTGAAGAAATAAATTAAAGAACCTATGTGCGTCCTGCCTACTTTCTTCTGATAGTAAACACCTTGTTACGGCCTGATACCAATCATCTATAAAAGTAATATTAAAGTTGAGGATAAAATTGATATAAAAGCAGTTCATGATGGTTTTTGTGCCTGCAGCCCGATCGATTGGGGGTGGGGGTGGAGGGCATAGACATTAGCTATCACCTCACTAGTAAGTTCTAAGAGTAAATCTGGTTGGAGGAATGATGCGATGAGTCATAAGCTAAAGATAAAAAATGAACAGGTTCCCAAAAGAAGCCTATGACATACAGTATGCTGGGAGCCTATTTTTACAAGTACACTGAAAATGTCAAGTGTACATATCTACGTGTATGGCCCTTGGTGTTAAATATAATTCATGTCAGCCCTCTGACCGATTTTGTGTTCCCACATCTGTTATAAAATATTTTATATATATATTATTATAGAACAGCATTATTATCTAAAAATAGTCATGTAAACAATGTAATGTAAAGCGTGTGTGCCTGAAAATTGATGCAATAATAATTTTTCCCCCACACCTGTAAAAAATCAATATACTAATAACAGTTCTGCTCAGCCAAGTACTGTGTTTTTCCAAAGAAAACATGCAGTTAACAACTATCCTACTACAAAGCCAACACACAAGTTGTTAAATATTGGCTAGACAATAAGGGGAAAAATTGATTTGCCCTTTATAGTATCTTGCGACCTTATCTAACTAATATATGTATTAGATTGCTAGACATTCAGAAGATTGTGTTGATAAAGTTTGAAGCTGACTAAGTATGTGACTTATATATTTTCTTGTGTGCTTAGTTTTAAGGTAAAGGTTAATGATGGCCAATGACCTTTCAGAGAAAAAGAAATTTTATAATATGATGAGTCAATATCTTGGGATATTAATACACCTTTATATATATTGTTGTTTTTTTTGTTGTTATTAATATTATTATTAATATTGTTTATTTTTATTTCATAATGCCAATTGTTTGTTTTATTGTCCTGGAAATGTTTATAGTGGATGTTTTTTCTGGTTTTTCTGATAGTTGGAATAGGAGAACGTTTTTGATGATCCTATCTTTTGTTATTGTGGAAATTTATCCACTGGCAGCATATTCGAATACAGCTACTAGGTCTATTTAGCTTCTGAACTCTCCAAGTCTCCATTGCGGCCTAGCCTACTTTGTCTCTCATACGTCTGTCTTCTTAAGCAATAAGTCTTTATTCCTACACGTCGCTGTTAATTTCCTGCATGGACATCTGGGATGAGTTTACCGTGGCTTTGATGCTATCAGTTAACATAAATTATCCTCACCAATCAGATGCATTATGGGTTGGTTATGAATCACTTGGCGGGACACCAATAGAATTCTGTGCCCAAAGTTCAGCTACAATATATGTAAATTTCCATTCAGATAATTATCAACTGTATTTACCTTCTCAGTAATAGGCTGTTGTGGTATAATATTTCTGGAAAATTACAAGTCTAACAAGTAACTGTATTTAAGTGACTCTCCAAAGCTGGTGAGGAAAGATATAATATAGAATAAGACTCATAAAATATATCAGATTTTTTTTATTAAATACTATCAAATCACTTTCAACAGGTTTATATGTCAACATAATATTTACTAGAATTCTTTTTCATGTTTTAAAAATTATGTTAAAATGATGTAATAATAATTCACAGTACAAGTTAATCACAGATGAATAGGTGCACTGTAGATTATTGAGTATCTCAAACATATATGCAGTCTGAGAGTGAATTAATATTTAAGTTTAAGATTGTTGGTTTCCAGTTAAAAGGGTTCTATCCACATAAAATTCAGCAAGGGATTTTCCCTAAATTTAGGATACATTATTGCATGATGAATCCAAACAATGTATTGAGGGCGCTAGTTATATTTCGTTATGGTAATTCAATCAATGCATTTTCCAGATGACTAAGCACATAGAAAAAAGAAATTATAAAGACCAGTCTTTTGGATTGTTTATAAAGTGAAAACAAAATTTCATAACTTAATGACAAACAAAAGAGTATAAGAGACTTATAGTGCACAAAGACACTAGCCCACAACTCTAACATAAATTGTTATTGTATCTCATACATATTCATGCTCATTATAATAAGTAATTAATGAGATCCAGTAAACAAAGTACTTGTTGTTTCTGTCTAGACCAAGTTCACCACCAAAGCCAGTTGAGAAGCCAGTTGGCTGGTTCCAGCCATTCAGTAACAAGATGTCATGGGTACAGGAACCAACCAAGAAAGAACCAGATGAGAAAGTACCTGGAAAATCTGAAGCTCCAGATCCATTGGCTAAGGTTAGCCTCAAGGTACGGATGTAAAGGAAAATAGCATTGAAAACATTTCACAATATAATTATCACATATTAATACTTTAAATGCATTATTAATGATAATACTCATCATAGTCAACATGGTCTTCTTCATCATCATCATCTTCATAATCAATATCATCATCATCTTCACCATCATCACCAAGTCTAGAAGAAGACTTATTTCCAGTGGGGTCCTTCTGGTGGTGATTGGACAGTACACCGGGAGACAATTCCCTACTCTTTTCCGAAGAGTGTGCTGCGTTCTTTAATGTGCACATGGCCCATAAATACACATGTGACCAACAGCTTAAACATCTCATCCGAAAGACGGTGCTCTATTGTAACTTGTATTTCAGCCCTCCAGCTGAAACACAAGCAGGGACAGTGATGGGAATTGAACCGGTGACCTAGAGATCTCCATGGTTCAGCGCACACACAGTGGCTACCACCAGATTAGCCGACTGAGCTATGCTGCTCTCTAATGGTAGCTGGCCTGTTGGTGTTATGCTCAATGGAGACTGTACTGATTTCCGGGAAGTGAAAGTGCAGTAGTCATTATAATTGACTACACCACTTTTTTTTTGTGCCATTTCCAAGAGATGAGATAATGTCTTTTTCTTCGGATAACTTATGATGGTACAATATATACAGTATAAAAGATAATCAACCAGATTGTTTAATGAACTATTTACAGGAAGCCTTTGAAATGCACAAGCTAAACTTTATCTCCAAGTCCAAGGAACGTGTAAAAAAGGTTAAACTAGCTGCAGAAGAACGGCATATACAGGAACAGTATGAAAAAGAACGGCTGAAAATATTCCAGGAAGAAAAACCAAAACAAGCAAACCCTCATGCACATCCACTAAGTGGTGAGTTGTTATACAAATAACGAATGTTTATGAGTGCAATTGGAAGAATATTTTCATGAGTTGAAAGATTGACTGTTGTTCTATTATAAGTGAGACTTGTATAAGAATATAATATATGATTTTTATTTTTATTTAATACAATAATTGAGTTTTCTGCATTTCATTAATATCGTCTTCTACAATGATAGTTAATTGTTCCATTCCAGAAGAAAATGTCCAAAAGGAATCAAAATCTAATTCTTGCCCAGTCAAGAAACCCAGGTGATTTTATAGAGATATATCAAATTAGATAAATGGTGAAAGTAGTCTATGGTGATGGATTTTTTAAAGAGTAAATTCATTCCAACCCTTTCATTGCTTAACGGTGTAAAAGTGTTTGTGCATAACCATTACGGACATGGATCCTGTAGTGAGTGTGAGGGTATTGGTTTTTCTTCAGTTCTAAATATTATTTTTTTGGATATATGCTATAGTACCTTATGTTATATTTTGTATTTTTATAATATGGGAGTAGTTTATTTTATATTTTGGTTTTTGTATAAATTATTCAATTTCATGCTTTTTATAAACATTTTTAGAGGTAATTTACTAATCTTAAAAGCTTTATTTTGCTTTCTGTTATAATAACTTTACTCTCTGACAATTAATGTTTAATACGCTATGCATACAACATTATGAAGATCAAAGTGTAAAATTGCAAGCAAACAATTAAATTACCCATAGCTCTATATTTAGGTGTGATTTTAAAATGCAGTTTAATATGGACAAAGGATCACAAAGACAAACTATATTGTTGTAAAATGTTTAAATATTTAGGAAATAAATTAAAATTTAACTCAATTATGTAAAGATTAGTATGTCTTTGTCTAGGCCTGAAGTGGGAAAGCACCTCTCAAGACTACTGTATAGCTGGCATAAGAAGGCTAGGTGGAGAAATCTCCTACACTTTATAGTTTCTAGATGTGTTTGTCAAAACAAATAATTGTGTGGGTTCCCTTATCAATACTTTTCAACATAAAAGAATGTAATACTAAGTTTTTTCTTTTCCAACTAAGTGTATTATAATAAATATTAAAGAAAGAGTATACCAAAGTTACTGTCTTGTGATTTACTTGTATATTCTTAACTAACTGAACAAAACATTTTTTTGTTTGCTATATTATTTTTGCCATTTTTTGGTGATGGTTAAAGGGATTTAAATATCTTTGAACAAAATTTGATCATAATAATAAACAGGGTGACTTCTTGGATCATATAATTTGTTATTATTAACAAATATTTTGCTCCCTGTCTCCTTTTTTTTTTTGGTGACATGAAACAAGAAAACCATTTCTCAAGACTACAAAGTTGAAAGTCATTGTTCTGCAAATATAATGCAAGAAGTCAACTTTTTCTTTTTATACTTGTTTAAATATATCCTTTATTGAAATGTCTGATTTTACATCATCTTATGTCGCTTGTGTTTTGTTTTTTCAACAGAGCAACTTCACTCGCCAAAACGAAGAACAATGTCAAGGAAAGAAATGAAAGCACAGACAGAAAAGTAAGCTTTATCATTTTGTTTTATTATTTATTACCAAATACTTCGAAACAATGTTAATCTTTTATATTATTTTGATAGAAGACATTTCTATAATACTGTACAATATTACTCCTGTTATTGGTGTGATAAAAATAAATAAAATAAATACTAAAAAAAACTAAATAAATACTAAATAAATACTGAGGCCCTGGCTATGGCTTCTTTGAGCCCTTCACCCTGGTGCGGAGGGTCCTTAGTTTTATAGAGCCCAGCAGTGGCGAATATCAAGGGGGGGGGGTGTTGCACGGGGGCGCATGCCCCTCAAGATATTACTGGAAAATCATGGTCAAGTAGTTAAAAGTCGCCACCGACAATTAGAAGACGGCGTTACCCTGTCCAGCGCTCACATGGACCGTCGTATGAGTGCCCGGCTTTACGGTCTGCTACATGGCTATAACCAGTGAGAGCTCATAGTTGTCACATCGCTGGATCCTACATTGTTTTATTGACCGGCAAGCTGACCATTCTTAGATAACCCAGCTTACATTGTTGATGGGCTGTGCAGAATTTCATACTATGTTTCAACCATTATTTTTTTGTTTCGTTCTTAAGAATATACAGCAATCTACCAGAAGTAAAAAAAAAAATCGAGGTCGAAAAACGTTCCCAGGCCAACCAAACCAACAGACTGAGAGCACAACTTTATAAGAAGGTACAGCACTTATTTAATAAAATGATATCATAAATTAATACATAGTTATAAATGTGTTTTCTTTGATTGTTGAATTAAAGCGTATGTGACCTGAGATGTGGGTGAATTTGTTTACATTATATTTTGGTGGTTGTTGTTATTGTTGCTGCTGCTGCTGTTGTTATTGCTGCTGCTGTTGTTGTATTGCTAGTAATTGTAATTGTAATATATCTTTCTAAACTCCTCATTGTGTATGTAATTCATAAAGAAGTATGTTTTTTCTGGGTATTGTTGAGCTTTATTTTAATTGTTCATATTAATCATGATACACTGATAATTAAAATACTGTCTTCCCATTTTAATAAAGATTTATTTTAATTGATTTTTAACCAAAAGTGTGTTATTCTCCAGAGACTAATGGAACGGTTGAAGGGTCGACCATGGACTGGTCCAAGTCTTTGAGATTTAGTTGTGGCGGTCTGCTACTGATCATGTGAAGAAGTGGTTGAACCTTGACCAGCAAAGAGGAACCAATTTCAGCATCACTTGCTGAAGAACCAAGGGTTGCCATTATTAAGAAGAGTTTTTGCATATCAGGAAGAGTGATAGAGTTGACAAGGTTTACTCATATGAAAGTTCAATTGTCAGTGTAGTATTTGTACGGTCAAATGTCAGGAAGACTACAAGTCATTGAGGTTCAAATGTCAAAAAGTAAAATGCTAGCAAAGTTCATATGTCAGAAACTTCATATTGCAACATTATTCATACTGCATGTTTGAAAAAAGGTCAGGCCAACAGGGGAATACTGTATGCCAATGTTTGTACAAATATGCAAATAGTGAAATATGTTACACAAGAGCACCTCATAGTGGTGCCTAGAGCGACATCATAATTCATGTTAACTAGTAGTTACCATTTTCTGAATCTATTCTGACATAAGGTTAGTACAGTATGCTCATTCCGAGAATGTTATAATGTGGATACAAGATAACTGAATAAGGTTCTGTATGTTTCAATTTATGATAAATACTCCAGTAAATAAGTCGATCTTGAATTTTATATCTAGTATTATAATTACATGAATACATTACAAATGAATTATATGGATATGTAGTCTGAAGGTAATGTATTTTGCTGATAAAATTAACAGCATTAAGCCCCATTAAAGTGATGAAATTATTACAAGCATGCATCACTTTTGTCAAAAACTCAATATAATTTTTGTTTTTTGTTTTTGTTTTGTTTTTGTTTTTTTTGGATGGGGTTTATATATATTTATTTAATTTATATGTTCTGTCTTTTTGGCTTCCATTGCCTATACTAGCATTTAGTTTTGTCATGGGAAAAAGTATTCTATTGTTTTGAAAGCTGAACTAAATAAGATTTGACAAAAGTGGTGCATACTTTATTAGCCAATGCAATGTACATGCTATGCTAATACATCAAATTATTGTCCGATACTGACCATCAGATTGGCTTTTGTGAACATTTTCTTTTTAAGAAAATTTGTTGTTCGTCTTCACTTTCTAAAGGTGGTAATCCAATCGTTTTTTGTGGGGCCTTAGTGCTGTCATGTAGACAGTTAATTTATATTTACAATAAATTAAGGTCATTAAAAAAAACTACAGTGTAAACAAAGATGGATTACTGTATTCCTCCAGTGACTGCGGTAAATTTAAAGAGATGTTGCATAAGAATTTAAGTAGGTTTTTTGAAGTATATTGTATGAAAAAGTCTGTATGCATTTCAGGGTGCTTATTAAGGTTTGTTGTCTGTAATTGTTTGTTTGCATAATTGGAGGAATTGCTTGAAGAAAATGATGATTATCTAATAGTTATTTAAATAATTTTGGATTTAGAAAATAATGTCATTATCTGTAGCATTTTTAAGCTGCAAGTTTTAGGCATGAATGTATTTCAAAAGTTTTGATTTCCACGGCCAAAGATAAAACCTTTCTGATATGAATGCTGTTCATTTTCTACTTATCACTATTTTGTTTGTTACTGTTTTTCAGTAATTGTGAAATAAAATAGATTCTGAAAGAAAAATTAATTATTTTATGGAATTCTTTTATAAAATAATATAAAAATATATATCTGTGCTTCTGGTGTATTCAAGAGCACAATTTACTATATAATCTGTTGTCATACAGGATATTTGTATTCACAAAATTTAAACAAAATTTAATCTCTTCATATTCATTAAGTACAAGACTTAATATTAAGACTTAGTATTTATTTTCATTATTAATACATTAAAGTATCTCTTTATTTATGATGTGTCCCCAGTTTCATAATTAAACTGTAACAACCCCTTAATGTAAGATTCTAAGGCATCTGTTGGTTATATTAATTAACTGGAGAAGCATTGTTTAGAGCTAAATATTAATGGATGAGTAACATATCTTTGAAGAATGGACCTAATAGATAACAATATTCAAATATACAATGATGGTTTAAAAATAGACACTGTTAAGATATCCTGTTGTTAAAGCGAATATTATGCAACTGTCAAAATGAAAACATATTTGTCCTATTGAAAGAAGTAGTTACAGTGCCAATAGTACACTTTTGCAATGTAACTAAATAATTCATATCTTATTTAAACTTAGCATGTTTTGCTATCCACAGCAACATTACCAAGTGAACCACCAGCATCATAATTACACTTTCTGCCCTAATGATGGTAATACTTTTAAGTACACTTAGATAAGGTGATGACTGGAAGCTATATGCTAATACTTAAGTTGACTTTTTAAGATCCACATACACTGTATAGAGGCAGTAATGCCAATATAAGCAAGGAACTGAATTACAGTTGAACTTGCCTAAGTCGAATCCAAAATGCCATTGAAATATTGTTCGACTTGGATAAAATTTGACTTACAGATTGTTAATTAATGGAAAACAACAATTTGGCATGTAAAGTAAGATCGACTTAGAAGTTATACGACTTAGGCACAGTCAACTTAGGCAATAATTTAATAAGCCTAACCTAGTTTTTAAGAGGTCTGTGCCAGAATCATATGCTGTTTTTGAAGGTGCTTTGTAGTTTAAAGGCAGTAGGGCTACGCTATATCCAGAGACTAGAATTGGCACCTGTAATAATTGAGCAGTTGGACCACCTGTATGAAGCTACCACGTGCACAGATTTAGCACCTGCTTACTAGCATGGTTTAGACCACCTGTATGGAGCTACCAAGTACTGTACACATATGTAGCACCTGCTTACTGCCTTGCTGATGATGTAGCACCTGCTTACTAACATGTAGATGTGTTGACTCACATGTACGGAGCTACCACATGCACAGGTAGCACCTGCTTACAATCATGCCAATGTAACCACCTGTGCAGTTACACATGCACCGATGTAGCACCTGCTTAATGGCATGCTGACGTCTTAAGAGGGTTTCTGGTTCTATGGTGTCTTGTAGAGAGGTTTACAGTAGACATTCGGCCTGATTACTTTCTGTAAATCAATGATTAGTCAAGCAGTAAATAACCATCTCAGTGGTAGATGGTAGTAAGGAATACTGTACATTTAATTAGCTGGTACAGTGGAATACTGTGGATGGAATCAAACAGCTGTCCTCCAAAATGGTACCAGAATGTTATCAGCTAGTATCTATAGATTCACATTCAGAAGTCATGTCGATAAAGAGGAGTGACCATATGAACTCTAGCACTTGTCAATTGGTGAACCTAGAAGGTACTGGAGAACGAGGGAGTATCTCCTAGATGATGGCATAAAAGACTATGCCCTAGATACTATGGAGTACTTAATAATAAAAAGGTGTGCCTTCCAGATGGCCCTTTCAACTGCTTAGATCATTGCTACAACCTCTCTTTGATGCCATATCAATCTATCTAACATAGAGTTGTGTCTTACTGCAACATCTACAGTAGTAGCTGTGGACTTTGGTAATGTCTGGTAGTTGATTCGTTATGCCATGACACACCATATGCTCCAAGATTGATGTGATTATGGTTCATTTTCCAATATTTAATCAAATACTTTATCAACGTTAACTCATATTCGAGTTAGTCTAGTAGTTTACCAAAAGTGAAAACAGTATACAGTAATAACATTTCTTGATATAGGCCTATGCCCTCATCAGCAAAGTAGTTGTTGGTTCATTGACTTATCCTAACCCTAAAAATAGGCCTACCATTATGTTCTTAACTGTTACTACTTGAACTGACAAAACACTGTGCAATACCTGAATTTGTAATTACTTGTGATTATCGTGTTTTTTTTTTTTCCTGAAATACTGAGCTGATTTTGTAATAAAGATAAACTCACATTCGTAAAATATTCAGTCGACTTGCTCTCGCGATCAGACCACAACTACTTTTTATAAATGATGAAATTAATATTTATTTTTATTGGGTTTTTTTGTTCAAATGCTGAGCTGAGATATGTTAAGTTACTGGTGTTTGCGTACCTCTGTGTATATTTAGAATATTTTTCTATTTTGTTGCCTCTATTGTTTTGTTAATACACACCAGTACTATTTTCTTCTACTGTATAATTTATTGTACTACATTTCTGCTATTATTTTATTTCAGATAGGTTAGTTATGCCATTTACTGTATGTCTATATTTTGTTTAAATGGTATTTAATTGGCACATTTTGCCCACTTGTAAAAAGAAATCGCTTTTGATTTTACCAGAAAAGTTAATCTGACATGTTGTAAATAATATACTTACGGCTTGACTGTACCGAATTATGATAATTGTAAATATTGGTTCAATTTATGCCCTTATTCAGTTTGCCTTTGTATATAAATAGATTGTTAACATTTTACTGTTTTTTGATTTCATAAAAACGGATACTGGTCGTGTGCTGAATGAAATAAACTGAATATACTATGATAAGTTATTAAGTGCTTGAATTGTGAATGTGTAAATTTGTTCATTAGTTATTCAGTTTTCCAAAATTCAAACTGGATTAAAGATATACAGTACCACCCAAACAGATCGAGAATAAAAATTAAGTAAAATTTATAGATTTTTAAAAGTGAAAGTAAATGTTTTGATTTACCAACTTTTAATAGTTTTTAAAAGTTATTAGGCGATTGACAAATTCTTTTTTTGTAAACGCTAGTACGAAACAGAGTACTTACTCCGTTTCTTAATAGCTTAAAAAAAAAAACGAAGCTAAGAGAAAAAGGTTACTAGGCCTATATAGTATATGAAGGAAAGTTTAAAAACATTTGATCAGTTATACCTATAAAATATTCTGTTTTAATATTTGAAAAAGAAAATAACACGAGATAAAAAGCCATTACATCCTTATTCTCAATGGCTTCTGGATTCTCGTTTGTAGTTTGATAAGATTTGGTATTCTATAATTCCGTAAGGTAACTTGTTCTAATTCTTAATTCAGATAAAAATAGCCAATGATCTCAAAACGGAACTCTAAAATTTCAAATACGACCAACGGATATTAGTTCTATGGAAATTCGAAAGTCTCTGAAAATGGTTATTTAAGTAAGGAGATCAAACATCGTATAAAGATGAAAATTAACTTTATCTGAACATTTAACATCCCTACATCTTAGTGGCTGACCCACACAACCGATGACCAGGTTTTTTGAAGCAGACCGTTTTGCTTAGGGAAGTTCTGTTTAGGCCTAAATTTTACTCATAAGCATACACTAGGAAACAAAGAACAGTGTATTCAAAAAATGGAATATAAGCAACACTAATAATCATACAACTAGATATAAGGTCTGTGATACAACCAGTGGAGTTAAAGGGCTTAGTGGTTAAGATGGTTGTCTTATAGTCCTGGGTTCAATTCATATGGCAGCAGCTCCCATGTATCGAGCAGTTTTAGACTCTTTAATACAAAAACTAAACTTTCAATTTGAAGTCATAACTAAACCTGTTTAGAAACAATTAAGATTGATTGTTATTTTTCAATTCTTCATTGCACTGCGAACAATGGCAATACAGTGGCGTAATCAAGATTTAAGAAAGTGGGGTGCTGATCTTGAGTCCAAAGAACGTCAGTGCCACTATGGTTGGCGTTGACGTGAGAAAATATTCAGTATTTTGTACCTCTGGATGCCCAGAAAATGGAAATCAAATTATCTTTTAATTCTTTTTATTTTTGACAAATTGAGTAAAAAAAAATTAAGTATGGGTGCTCGAAAATGGCCCTTGCCTACTTACAATTACTCAAACTACTGTACTATATTCACCTGGGCCCATCATGGTTGTGGGGCGCAGATGAGTAAATTTTAAGAATTTGAGACTTTATAAATAACCGAAAACGGAACTTCTTGGATACATTTACAAATTCTATCATATCTACCTGAGCCCCACCATGGTTTTGGGGCGCAGATGAGTAAGTTGTAAGAATTTGAAACTTTATAAATGCCCGAAAACGGCACTTGGATACTTAAAATTTATGAAAACTACCATCCACTTCAGGTTACCACGATTGAGGCTGAGGCAAGACAATTAAAAAACTGCCATATACCTGAGCCCCCCCACTAGGGTTGGGGGTCAGGCTCACTTAAGAATTTGAGACATTAAATGCTGAGAAATGGCACTTTAATCCATAAAATCTACGAAAATTACTGTATCCACATAAGCCTCATCATGGAGTTTCAGATGAGAAAATTTAGGAATTAGGGACTTCAGATACCGGAAAGTGGCACTATAATACTTAAAATTTGTCAGTTATTATTTAATATTTAAAAATATGCATTTTTATTTTTATTTTAGCCTCAAAAGGGGGGTGCCTGATAGCACCCACCTGGATACGCCACTGCAATGTACAGTAACAGAAAAAAAAAAATCAATGCACTCGCGAAATATTTACGCTTTGTGAGATCAACAAAGACAATGCTAAAATACATTCAGGTTTACCCGAATATAGAGGTTGTCAGCGCACTAATCTAATCATTGCAGATTTCATTATACTTAAAACACCACCATATATCCTAATTAATTTGAGTAAGGACCCAAACGTCTGTGACGATTTACGTGCACAGAACTGTAAGAAATATGTCGTAGCACCATTCTTATAGGTGTCTTACCAGTATTGGCATATTTTTAGTTCATTTTATGTCTATTAATATATCGTTAAAAAAACAATTTTACAATAACACTAATCTACAAAATATAGGACGAGGACTTGTAGCTACAAAAGAATTCATTAATAGTTACGTTAGTACCTACAGGAGCAGAGTAATATTCATTACAGTATATAAAGTGAAACATATGGCTGATATAAACCTGAGTCAACTTTAAATAGTTGTCTCAGTATAAACGCGTAGGCTAACTGTATGTTCACTAAATATAACGGAATAAATTATAAAGTGACAATATTAATCACTAATAAGTCAATACGTGAATAATAAGGAATTTCTACATCTATCACAACATTTTAGCATCTACTGTATTAATCTAGTATATAATATTATTTACCTGTATCATATTACTGCTTTGTCAACATTGTAAACAAAATTATTGTCTCACAGTTATAAGTTCTATATTTAAAAGGTAATTTGTCTTTTATTGCAAAGGTCTTTCTTTAAAAGAAGTAGCAGTATTCAAAATTATGCTTCATGCGGTTGGCCGACAGGGCTTCACAGAACTTGATTATCTGAACCTTATATTCCTGGGGCGGATCCAGATGGGTGATGGTCGCCGACGTCAGGAACCCTCCCTACTCCTAACATGTTAGTGCTTATTAGTGGACAAAAATAGGAACAGATGTTGGTAATATCAGCAGTTTTTTCTACTGTAATATTTTCGGTTTTGAATTCTCAATAAACGGAGGGTGACAAGACAGAAGACGGTTTCCCAAGTCATTTAAACTTAAGCCATTAATACATGAGTGCTCTTTTTCTTTCTGCATCCCTTTCTGCAAATATCTGGATCTGCCAAGTACCTCATAGCCTCGCGAAAGGCCGTCACCGGGCCTTTTCGTGAGTTCATATAAAATGAATAACAGCAGTCATAAAATTCCACACATTACACTAATATTTAACTGAATCGGATTGAATCCAGTAAGGTATTCCCGAAACCACCCAACAGAACAAAATAGGGCCTACTAGATAAAAAGATTTTGTTTTGCACAAAATTTAATATTTTTAAATGATTCCATGAGTTTTAATAGATTTTTTATATAAATTGCTGCCAGAAATGTAATAGTAAAGGCCTATAGATGTAAAGACTATTATAGGAATGATATTAATTAAACATGCTTTGTTTATCTTACACTGTATTTTAGAAAAAAACAATCGAAACTGTGTATATATGATGAAAGTTTTTGTTCTAATTTCCAAACATAAAGATATCCTTTGTACTCACTTACAGGCCTGGTAACAATTATTTTCAAGAGAGCAAAGATTTCTGGCTAACATAATATAGGCCTAATAAAACAAATTCTAAACTGTCAAACGTATTTTACTGAAATTTCTGATTTTATGCAGTATTTTGCAAATTGTTATGCTTCACCACCGAAATAATCACACACCACCGAAATAATCACGGAAGTTATACCGGAAGTATTCATTTAATTCAGCAGCTCTGCCGCTGTCAACGTTCGGCAAGGAACTCACCCTCACAGTACAGAACATTTAAATAATCAGACAGGTGGTCGCACATACCAAATACCACGTCACAAAAGTATTGACTGGCAGCACCATCGTCGAACACCACTCGTATTCTTTTGCACAGTGTGACCACTGCTTGGGTATTTACCCAAGATCTTGGGTATTTTGACTTGGTCTTGGGTTCTTGGGTATTCCTTTCAAATCCTTGGGTATTTTATTTTTACTAAGAAAATTAAATATTTTTGTCATAGAGGAAGAATTAAGAAGTAACAAAGTATATTTTAGTCCATTCAAGTAAGCAAAACTCAACAAAGTGCACATAACATTGTTAATTGACTGTTAATTGCTATAAACATGGGTTCAGAATTGTTTATTTGTGATTTACGTTGCCATTGATCTTACCTAATTAATGCATTACATAATAAAACTTGATGACGTACTGATAACACTGGCCGACTGAGGGCGTATTTTTCTATCCGTATTATCACCTCATGAATATTAATTTTAATAATTAACACAAACAATTACAATAAAAAATAGTTTATAAATTGAACTGAAAGGGAAACTATACATGCGGAAAACACGTTTTTTTTTTTCAAATTTTAATGCATTTTCAGGAAGCTTGGGTAATTGTGACCCAGTCATTGGGTATATCAAAAATTGTGAGTGGTCACGCTGCTTTTGCAGGAGGGGAGGGGGAGAGGGATAGGCTTCCCCGAACAGGGATGGCTTGGTCCCCTTATCGGGGAGCTTGGACCCCTCGTCGGGGAATTTCTGGCGCCGCCCCTGTACTGTGGGTCGAGTGGTTTGGCCCTGTCTCTTATACACATCTAGATGTGTATAAGAGACAGGTATTAATATCTAGATGTGTATAAGAGACAATCCTAATGCTATAATTACATATAAATTTTGAACATTAAAGAAGAGGAATCTGCAAGTACGAAAAAGTTTCTTCAACCGGGATTCGAACCCAGGCCCTTCTGCAGTCTATGCAGAATCCTTATATAATATCGAGTAGTACATTATGAACTTGTGAGTTTAGTTGTATAATAACTCTCAAAATTAAGAGGGTAGGCCTAAAATAAGTTCTTAACTGAATATTGGATCAATTTGACTAGGCTACATGTAAAAAAGTAACTATGAAAAAAAAAAGAAAATGACTGAAAGCGGGGCAGACCCAACAGCATCATCCTATAGTTATATATTCATTTTCGTGGTGTGTTTCACGGGGATGGGGATGGTCCAGCAGGAAGGTGGACACCTTTTTAAGTGGAGTCTGGGAAACACCTGGTGGGGATCTGAACTAATCCTCTACTGCCTAAAACCTAAAGACGTTTTAACGTACTTAAAAAAAAAATCAAAATTACAAAACCGTAGGGGATGTCCTGTCCGACGGCAGTGAGGTATTGTGCGTCGTTTAAAAGACGTGTGTGCCTGGGAAAAATAAATCAAGACAATTATGCTGAGGCGCCCTCAACTTTAGCAGCTGTTTGACAGGTGGTATTTACCATTTAGACACTGATATGAATTGCAATGTGCCGTCCACTGTGTACATAGAACAAAACAAACGTTCGTCGTTAAATGTTGTGCTGTTGACAGCGTCGCTTAACCTTTTTCTTCTTGCATTGTTTACGTTGTAAAACCTTTGTTATTTACCATAATTTCTGGTTACATATTAGATGAGCAGTAGCATCGGCAAATTTGAACAAGCGTTCCCTGATTTGTATCGGGATTTGTATACAGTTAGTATTTAGCACGGGTTGTGCAGTGGGACAATTTACACTGTTGCTGCGTGGTCGGAACGATCAAACGCATGCATTGTGAACATAGATGATTGGAAATTATTGGAAAAGAATATTGCCGTTTTGATAATAGTGCTATTTTCATTCAAAGCAAACTCCAATTAAGGGAATATTACGATCGAACACGGACGTAAACAGACACCGGTATCAACATGAGTAAGTAGTCCCTTACTTTAAGTATGGGCGCCCTATCGTGCTGTGTTCCAATGTCCCCGTGGAAACCGTGATCACGGCTTGCAAAGTGTTCCCAATGCTCAGCTAACCGGGTGGTCATTACACTAAGTCGTTAGTTGGAAGGAGGTACTTGACATAAAGTCGTGAATATCAACGTTATATTTGAGCAATATGTGGAAGGCAATTCAAATTTTTCAACTTTGAATTTAGGTCTAATTATAAAATTGTAAAAAAAAGTATTTTAAACTTTTAAAACAATTGATTAAATATTATAAAATATTTATAATTCATAAATTTAGCCAGTAGGAATGTAGTTATCAGGCTGAACATGAAGAATTTATTGCTCATCAGAATTGCGTATTTACATTGGAACGCATTTCATGTTATTACTCTTGTTGACGGGTTGTTTCACGTTGGTTACAGGTACACTGAAACGCAGCATTAGTATAGTGGTAATGGCTTGTTTTTTAATGTAAATTGATTTTTGCCATACTGTACTACATTGCAAATACAGTGACTACATGCTACATGTTTCTATGCAGCATAGGGAACCTGTATTTTCTTTTCTCCATCAGCATCCCTTTTTGATACCCCTTGCCTTTTTCCATTCTCCCTTGCTTGCTCCTGGTCGCGGATCAACAAGAGATATTTTTGCCGAAGGTGTAGGCAGGCTGCACAAAGGGTTTTTAATTTATTTTTTGTGGCCTGCAACAACATTTCTGGGCAGCACACCCTGTGATCTGCCCTTTGTTCACCCTATGCACTAAACATTTGTTATAATCTTCCGAATTTAGCAGTATGTCTTTATATAAATGATATCAAATATTAAAAATGTTGATTCTTTTTTATATATCATTTAAAAATCAAGGTTTCCCCAAATATTATAATTTATAAATATAAATATAATCTCCTTAATATCTTAATTGAGAGTTGCTTGGAATTTTGCCAGATATATTCTCATAGATAGCAGCTCTTAAAAAGCTTTACACTAATTATTTTCAATTCTTGCTCCTATATTGTTACATGCTCTTAAATCTGACAAACATGATATTCAGCTGTGAAAGTTCAACAAATCTAGGAAGGTCGTCATTTCTAGCATTTTAAGCAAGATCTCAGATTAGTTTATACAATTTTTACATGATAAAATATCTGACAGCTCAATACTTTTTGTGTTGTTAATATGAAAATAAGATATTGTTGTGAATGAAATGGATGTAATTTCTGTAGATCGAGCTGTAGATAATGTCAAACCATTTTAGAAATAAAACTAAAATTTTTTTAATTGTTGAAATTTCGATAAAAAAAATATTCATGCAGAATTGTTTTATTTAACACAAAAAATAAATAAATAAATCATAAATAAGACATAATTGTTTCATTTTGGGCTGTTTTAGGATGAGTGTAGCGTAAATGATGCAGTCTGATAATATCTTAAGCAATATCAAATTGAAAAACATACTGTATTTATCCAAATAAATGCCCCATTGTGTTTATTGATGAAAAAGTTTTTCGAGGCCAGGCATTTATTCCATGGTGGCATTTTTTATTATTATTAGGCCTATTATTTATAATATTTTGGGTGTATAACGGATACGAATAATAATAATAATGGCCCTTAATTCCTCTGCAGATTTAGAACTATAACACATAATTACTGCCAAAACTATTGTGTGTGTTGAAAAAGTAAGTCCCCAGGGCATTTATTTGAGGGAGGCGTTTATTCCAAATGAGGCTCTGGAGAGGGTGTTTATTCAAAGCGAGGCGTTTATTCTAATAAATACGGGAACTGAACCATCCCCTCCCCTTCAACTATATTCCTTAACCCTTAAATGAGAGTTAATTTTATAAAGCTTTACTTTTCCAGTAATTGACAAGTGACTCAATGATAGATGAGAAATAAAAAATAATGCTGTAATAACAATAATTAAATTATTTACCGTTAGCTCCATTTTCGGGCAAGGATGCCATTAAGACGGACGTTGTAATATTGAGTATAATTACATTACCCTATAATCCATTTACCCTTGGGTCAAGACGATTGCAGTAATTGTATATAGGACCATGCTGATAAGAAAGGTGAACGGTTTCTACGAATGGATAATATTGAATTATCCCACATTGACATTAATGACCCAGCGTTAAATCAAATGTCAGTGACCGTTGCTTATCCGAAGTAATTTTTGATGAAAATGAAACTTTTCTTTGTAGAACTGAGGTGGAATTGATTGTTCGATGGACTGATAATTTTGTTATGTATTTTTTTTATTGTAAAATGATCAAATATTGTAGTATTCAGTGCCTGAGCCATAGATTCTCTGACAACAGGTCAAAGGACCCCGACAGAGTTGCTCAGAAATGGGACACTGGCTCAAAAAATGCTTTGCAAAGCAGTCTTCCTGACCAAGGCTTCTTCCCCCACGGAGGATGGTCCTGTGCCCTGTGGACACCTTCTGGCGCCATCACTGGGTATATCCATAGAGATATTATATACTACTGTATAATACCTCCATGGTATATCCATGTTTTGTGTACTGGTAACCGTCTTTATAACCATGGTTACTGATAATGTACTGGATCACTTACAGTACCTTGATGAACCTAAATTATTATTGTATGTGTAGGGTAAGCCATAGTGGAAATTTTAAATGTGGTTTAAATGTTTTATAGGTATGGTATTGTTTTCATGTTATATTTTCAAATATTGCTTCATCTAAAGCTTTGAAATTTCATCATTTTTATAGACAATGTTATCTTGTATCTTTTATTATGGTACATGCATACCAAATCTCAATGCATTTACAGTAGGAGCTTAAAGATCAAAATATGCAAACCTATGACCTAACAATCCTTCCTATTGTAACCAAGGAAACGATAGCTTTGATAAATCTGATGCCTCCTTAATTAAATTAGCGTACATGAAGGATCAGCCTACTGTAGGCTCATGCAAAGCGAGTATTTATTTATCTGTTAATTAGTAATAAATTGATTTTACAATTAAATAAATTGTTCAAGGTATTTATGTCAGATTGTATTCAATATTTAATTATAATCAACTGATCTTTTATTTAATTTTCTTATAACATTTACCAGTGATTATTATTACTAATACATACCATAATTAAAGTATATAATTATATTTTGTGACTTCAACTTCCTTTGCATTTAATGTTTGTGTGTGTTATGTTTTTTAAGCCTCTATACAAATTATGCAGTACACTGCTTTTATGAAAAGCATCATTGAGACCATTAAGTGTTTGTGGTCAAGTAATGTATTAATTATTAATATTATTCTGCTGTATATCTTTACTTTATCACACAGTATATCCCTGACTTTAAGTTAAACAGCTCACATGCTTACAGTAGGCCTAAAAAAATAAATTGTTCGTTTGCCTTTCAATGCTGAAAATTGTATAGGAGGGGTAGGTGCAAAAATAAAATTTTTTTTTTATAGTTTTCTTTATTCTCCTGTCACCAAATCTAACATATTAATCGCAATGCTTGCAATTAAGCCTGTCTGACTATTTGTTTTTCAAATGGTATTAATCAGACTATAAAAATAACCCATAATCGATATTTTGCAATGAATTTAGGCCTAGAATGAAAATACCTTACATCAGACACCAAATTAAGACAACTTTCACATGCAAAATGGAGAAAAATAAAGATCACCTTTTAAAATTTTTGAACAAAAATAAAAATTTTTTAAAAAATTTAAAACGCCTCCCGTATATTTCTGTGAGCTATGGGCGGGCGCTGGAGGGCAAACAAACAATTTTTTAGGCCTTATAATAGAGTGCTGATCAGCATATGATTTCCTTATTACAGCATGAAAAGGTGTGCAATTCATTCAAATATTCTTCAGGGTTCCGTTTCCATTTGGTATACTACTAGTACAAGATGAAAATTTTTTAATTATTTTACATTAGATCTATAGGAGTACTATATTTATTTATTTAAAAAATAACTTTAATTGATTGCTTTAAAATTTATGAAATAAATGTGTGCAGATTGGCTAATGATCACTTCATTTGGAAAAGCCATGTTAAGTGTGCATCATAAAAAATATTTAATTAAATATATTTATTATTTGAAATAAATTAAGATAATTAATTTAAAGTGTTTTATATTTTTAATAAATTAAATTAAGTAATTATCTTTTTATCATTTTTAAAATTTAGTTTAAGAAACAATTTTTGATATTATGCATTTTAATTCACATTAGAAGTCTGACTACCAACTCCCTTTAGTTGGTGTCAAATATTTCCTACTGTAATTTGGCTAATACATTTATTATTATTATAGGCCTATATGAACCATAATAATAAATTTAAAAAATAGCAAGATTAAATTATAAAGCTACATACAATCAGGGAGTTGTTATACAATATACTCAAAATTCCATTGAAGTATTGACTGAATCAATTATTGTTTTTTTTTTACCTTTCAACTTCAATCATAAAAAAAGTCTATGAAAGCTGACATTGTGCAATGTTTGCATTTCTTTTGTGAAGGGAAAATAAACAGAATTTATTGACTCAAATTCATAAATTAGTAGACACGATGTAATATTGGATGAGAGGTTTCAATGAAGCTGTAATAGGCGTACAGTGAGTACTGCACAGTACCTTACAGATGTTGAGAAATCAATGGTTATTAAGCAAAACACCAAAAGACATCCACCTACTTCTATCCTCATCTTAAAATAGCTGTCAAAGTTTTGTATCGTTATATAACAGATTGTATTTTTTTTTTATGACGTGATGATAGATGATTTAATTTGTATTGTACTGTTTTTTTCAATTCTGCCTGGTTTCAAAGCTGAAGAAATGCAATTTAATAAACTTGTGCACCATGTTTTCATGATTTAAGATATTGTGGTCCTATATTCACTGGGAATATGGGTTGAGGAATTGCCTGTCAGTGTGCAGACTAGTCGTCGCCACTGAGCGAGAACCAAAAATGCTTGAATAAACGCCTTTCTC